ACACCGGAAGTTTAAGGCCACGAGCGCCATAACGAGCGGCCATACGACCCCGAAAATGCGCATTTTCCGCAGGGATGGAATCGATTCACGAGTCAAACTTAAAACGGTCTGCGAAAACTTGCGCAGCGCGAGCGACCTGTCAAACAACGGGAATACGTACGTCCTGTTTTAGGTCAACAGCAACGAGTCTAGCAGTCACGTGAAATGCATCAACCAATCACGTTTCAAACACCGGCCTAACACCATCGCTGCCGCAGCCAATGGCAAGCGAGGCTGGCACACTCATCACCAGTAACTGTTGAACAGTTTCGAAACTACGTATTTCCGGCCGTATCGCCACATTTAGGAAAGCGTTCGTGCTGGACAATGCCAGTGACGACCCTGATCTTCGCCCACTAAACTGACCGCTTCTTATTGCGGCATTTGTTTGGGCGTTGTTGGCAGTTTGCGGGTTTCTACGTAGCACGCGACTACTGTATCCGAATGAAACCTCCCATCCGCGTAGTACGCTGGTCGCTCCCTGGTTATGCACAGCTGCGCCGCGCTCGGCCGAGGCATGCGTGACGTCTTTAGTTTATACGCGGCTCCCAGCCACTGCTTTAAGTGCTTAAAAATTGGGTGGTCGAACTCTCAGTCGTTTTGCATCGATAACGGCATACTAGTTTATATTCCGTAGTTTTATGGTGATTACTGAACGTTCAGTGTAAATCGGACAGTTCTGTTTTCACTTTAAACTTAGCAATTCACATAACATTTGATTATCAATAACCGATTTTGTTTTGTATAAAGCGCAAAGAATCCGTAAGTCATTGATCCTGAATTAAATTTACTGACACCAAAATCACTTGAAACATTCATGCTCGAACCATCCGCCGATGGACGGTCTGCACTGAAAAGCCTCAACGATTCATGCGATGCACAGGGAATCTTTTCAATAGTTAGTTGCTTACAGCGGAGAGGGTGCTGAAATTTTCAAGACTTTTCCACTTATCAGCACGTTTTTGTGGTTCAATAACTGTTCAGTATTAAAACGACTGCGTACATTTTGACTCCTTCGTCACATGTGTTGGCAATCGGAAAAACCTTTCATTTGCTACTTGCATGAGAATGGCAGGCTAAATTTCGAGATAACTTATTTATAGGGGCAATGCCTGGAATATATCCAAAACTTGGTTTTATCACGCCTTGGATTTCAAGCTATGGGATTTCCCAGTTGACAGAGGATTGAGACCACTGGTGGAAACTCTTGAAGCTGTTGTACTCCCGGAAATTGCCAGTTCAGAAGATAAATATACAACAATGGTGAGAAACGCTGAAAGAAGATTAACCTATAGCTGGTGCTCGTTTCAAAAAATACATAATGATCATTTAGATCACTTGCATACATTAAAAGAAGAAAGGCAGTGCAGTCTATCGGAAGACGGTTAATACAACGACAGTAGGTAATGGCAACAGTGTTTACGCCTTGTGCTGATTATCACAACTAGTAGCCAATGATCAGGTGATTCAAGGTGAATCACAGCCCTGCAAGGCATTTGCATCAGGCAGCATAGCCGTATTTCTAGCCCACTCTAGTATGACATTAGAACACCATGCTGTCCCTGTTGCTAGCAAGTCGACAAATAGTTATCCGTTTCTTGGCTGGTTACATCGAAGCTATGTTGGGCGAATCCCTTGTGCAAGGGAATTAACTCTTATGATGAATTTAGTTTTCCTTTGTTGAATTCGAGCTAGCACCTCAGTAGTCAAATCCAACCTTTTATCAATGCGTCAGGGCATTCCTGAATACCAGAGTGCTGTGATCTGCGAATAGTCATGATATAGGCGAAGTACAAATAGGTCTTATTTACGGATCATTGCATGAATGGCTTAATCACCCACAGAAGTGGCAAGAATGATTGCATCGGCAGAAGCATGTGGAAGCAAAGCCTGCACGATTGAAAAGCATACCATCAAGATAAAGGAGAAAAATATCAGTGCTTGTTTGAAAATTCACTTTTCGTAACACTTTCAAACAATTCCGGTGTCGCGAACTCTTAATTTCATGCTCACAACCAAATAATGGAATATGTCATATAAATCCGAGCTCAGTCTGAAAACTAAGCTCTCGGCGTTAAAGTCGATCTTTATCCCCATTCTTACCTATGGTCTTTAGTCGTGGACCATGACTGAAATACTTTGGTCACCCGTACAAACTGCTGAAATGAATTTTTTTTAGACGAGTCGCTTGCTTTACGCATCTGGACATGATCCAGAATACTGACATCCGGGAGATCCTTGGTGTACGACTTTTGGTTCTCCAGATTAAGAAGTCACAGCTGCAATGGTTTTGGCATATGTTGCGAATGCCACCAGAAAGGAAAGCTAAGTAACTCTTTCTTGCGAAAGCGACAGGCAGGAGGCCCAGGGGATGGCCAAGATTAACCTGGTGCAAATATATGGAAGGAGTCTGTTCCAGACTGCTTTTGTCTTTTGCCGAAGCTCAGATTCTGGCACAGAATCGGGAACGATGGAAGCTCTGTCTGACGCGTCTGCCTCCGCGACCCGAAAGGAGAAGCGGCTATGGAAGATGAAGATGGTGAAGATCATTTAAATCCACCGTAGAAGGTACCAAATTCTGAGAGTAAGAAGGAAAGTTTAGAACGCTAATGAGGTTTCAGCAAAACATCACCACCTGTTCCTCATGGCGTAGATGTTATCGAACGTTATACAAGTTCGAACGTTACCTGGGTTGCCAAAGGCGGCACGGGTTGTTGGGCAACTGAGGTAGACTGCAAGATGTAAACAATTAGAACCTGCTTCACACCTTCTGGCAGTTTAGGGCCTAGCAACACGGCAACAGCTGCCAAAGATCGACAACAGGAAGGTAAAGATACCAGTTAGCAGAGAAGTCGCTACCCGTTCTGAATAAAAAAGACGGGCAGCGTGATGCCATTATAACACGATAAGTTGCATGGATGATACCGACACTTGGCGTTCATAGTCATAAACTGGAGCATCTCCTCACTCAGAAAGAAAGAATAGGAGCCAATCGATGAGACAGCAAAGTATCGCCTGAATATAGTTGAATTC